GGCTGTTTTTTGCTCCGTCGGGCCGTCCTTGGGCGCGTGGCCGGTGGCCGTGTTACCGGAGTCGCGGGTTTTACCTCGCAGCTGTCACACCGCACCGCACCACACCTAGTATGGCGGCATGAGGTCCAGCAGCCGCCGCCTGCAGTGTGTCCCACTCTGCTTCTCTGAGTCCCCAACAAGCTTACGACTGCATTTACTGGATGTTCAGTTTTGAGTGCCTCGTTGTGTGGATGAAGGGCTAGGTTGGGTTTGGAAGACGTGCACGACGTGACTGATGAGTGGCGTTTTCTCAGACTGCGATACAGGATGTCAGGAACGCAGTAGATGAAATGCCCTGGTCCCTCGATGAAGCAGACTCAGTGGAACTGTCCCGGCCTGCCCTGGTAGTCGTCTGAGGCCCCGTTCGTTAGTGCAGCTGGCATTTAGTTTCAGTGAAGTTGTATCATGTCTGTGTACATGAAGAAACACAGCACCTCCCATCCTGCACACATGTACTCTCTTCTCTAACCCCTCTGAGACTCTGACTCATTCACTCACTGGCCAAGACAACGTCAGGAAGTACAATGTGAGCAGGTCCATGGCCTAATTATGGATTAGTCATGCTATTAGTGAATCATTCCTTTAGTCTCAGACAATAGGTATTTGTGTGACTCGGAGCTTCTTAAAACCCATGTTGGGGACAGTTGTACTCACTGCTCTTTTTTCCCCTCCTCGTTTGTTCCCCGGCTATTTGTTTATGCCTTTGTTTCAAATCCGAGCGCTCCCTAATAGTTTTGTTGGTCTCCTAGCAACAAAAATGACAACAACTTTTTTTTTTTTTTTTTTTGCACAATTTAATTTTTGGATTTTAGAGAAGATGTGGTTCTTGTTTTTTTTTTTTTTTTTTGCACATAAGTCTTCAGGACACCTTCTACCCATTTTGCTTTGGACGGCATTATTCAGTGCTGCTTAAATGAAAAAGGATTAGAAGCTAGTGGGAACTGTGACATGTAAATACAGGAGGCTTTGCACACGTCTTTTTATGGCACTCATAAATTGTAAACTAAATGAGTCGATTGCTATGGAATTTGGAAATAATAGTGTTCAGCTGAACTTTTTAAAACAAGAATATCCTTGGGGGTTTACAAGTGTGTATTTATATGGTGGTAAACAAAAATCTTAAGCAATAACACTGGAGTGCTGTGATCTGAATTTAAAATTAGAATTTCCCGCAAGCACTCTGAGTGGTAAGCTGTTAAAAGTTGAGCTTGTATTAAGCAATGTGTTGGACAACAAACAAGCAATTCTTAGAAAAATCTTAGCTCTATTTTCTTTCAAAACGTTCGGGAAGTTTTTTTTTTTTTCTTTCAAGAATATTCCTGCACTTCTATTACAGGCTTATATAACTGGGGAAAATCCAGTTTTATAAAAGGGTAGCCCAGGATTAAGGGGTGGCGCGTTTTTCGCTGGGCAGGATATGACACTTTAACAGTAAACGCTGAGGGAATTGCAATGACTCATGAGTCACATACAGGAAATAGCAAAGCGACTGCACTCCTGGAGCGAGGGAGCGAGAGAGCGAGAGAGCGAGTGCCGTAGCGCCCAGCACGGGTCCCGGCCTGGGCCCTGCCGATTACCTAAATACCTGTGACTCGTGCGCGAGACTTTGCTCGAGCTCGATGTGTAAATGGTGAGCCGGCAGCCAGGAAGGAGCCTCGTTTTATGGGTTATTTCGGGCAGCCTGGCTGAAAACAAATGAAGAACAAAAACTGCTGTGATGTTTTTGGGAGGTGGTCTGGTCCGTAGGCGCTCACCATGGCGTAACTCGGTCCCACAGGACTTCATGAGATTACAGGATAGGCCCAGCGAGACTCCTCAGTCCCCACAGTCCCATGCCCCCCCCCCCTGCCCACTTCTGTACACTAATTATGGCAGCTCTGGTATGTCTTTATCCCCCCTCTTCTGTGATCCATCTGGCCACGCTTCTGTACAGAAATTAGAAGCCGCGTAACTGCAGATTAGACGTGGGTCCATCCTCTTGATTGAATTTATAATGTTTTTTAAAGAAAAAATCCATGCCCCCCCATGATCTACACTTTTAAGTTGCCTAACTCTCACTAATAGGTTGAAACCCTTGTACCCCCCCACCCCCCCAGCAACTTGGAGAGCTGCCTGCTGTGATATCTGGGTTTATACTGTGACACGGCTTCTTCAGCACGGTCTTGAGCCGCAGGCAACTGGAAAATGTTCCTTAGTAATGGGTGTCAGGCAGCACTCTGCCGCCTGACACACACCGTCAGCCCAGACCCCCCCCTTCCCCAGCTTGCCTTCAAACGTGCACTCACAATTCACTGTGTCAGACAGGGCGGCTGCCACTAGAGGGCAGGCAAACAGTTTCTAGGGGGATTTTTGAGGAGAGTGACCATCACTGGATGGTGCAAGCAGGCTGAGCAGCCTTACTTTATTACAGCTCGTTTTTAGTCACCTAATATCTGGTATGTGTACCTACTGGGTGAGTCACGCGTACGATGGATTTCATATCACATAAAAGACTCTCTGAACACAGTACCCCACTGAATTCCTGCAGAACAGCTAACGACCTAACAGGATTCTCTTTGCATAATGCATTGACAGTCTTATAGCACAGCTATGAAGCATTTCTGTGGCTTTGGTTTGTATATTTGGGCAGTATATTTCATCTATTTGGTTTATGTATTTAATTTCAAAACCTCACATTTACTGTGTTTTTGTGTTCATTTAACTAGGAAGAATGCAGCCCAGAGGCAAAGATGTTGTGTGGAATGTGAAGATTGAGTTTGAGAGTTTGATGGCAGTTTTGTGTATTTGGTATATTGAACTTTGCATTGATCATACTGTAGATCTAATATATTAGTCATAGATTAATAAAACAGAGGATGGATGGAATACAACAGGACAGAGGTTTATATATGTGAACTGTTTTTATTTCTTAACAGCAGTTAGAAATTTGTGCTGGCAAGACTCAGGAACCTGAATCCTTTCTGTGAGAATGTGATAAAATGTAAAAATGTAAACATACATGAGTTTCACAACCTAGGCATGCTGTGCAGACGTGCTGTGGACAGGATGCCGTTCCTTTTAGACTCAATCTCTGGATCAACTTTGTTTTCCCGCCAAAGTAGCCTGTCGTCGAGGTTCGGCTTTTCCTGGTGTGTGCGCGTGTGTGTGTGTGTGTGTGTGTCTGTAAAGAAACACACTTTCAACCCTCTTACACTGCTGTCACTTGTATCTGTGCCACTGTTGTGCTCTAAGCCCCAGGTACGTGTCTGCAGCAAGGCCATTAGCTTCCTGTGAACATGGTGCAGCAAGGTTCAGTGGGAGAAGTGCCGGAATTTCAGGTTATTCCGACTGGCTTGGTCTGCCTTTCAGCTGTGCAGATTAAAAATAGTGTGTTTGGCACAAGGTTGCACATAACACAAACAGGAGATAAAGCGTTAACAGTAAAAACCAGACCGGGAAGGATTTCTTTCTTAATTAACTTGTTTATATATTAAAAATGGATGCCAAAGTGTTGTGAGGAAGAGAACAAAGCTTCGCCTCGGAGAACGTAATGTTTCCTGAGCTGCACTTTGTTTGTTTTGAAACATACACGTGTTTATGTGAGCGACGCCGGTCACGTAGCAAGACCTTGCTGGCAGACAGCATTGCACAGAACCTCATATGGCGGAAGGAAGGGGACAAAGAGCATCCTCTTTGTAGGAGTTCAAGTTCCATCTCGGGTTTGGGTTTGAGTTTGTACTGCCATGGATCTCAAGCTCGGGTGGCCACCGGTCCCAATTCCATCCCCCCCCCCTTCTTAAAGGACAGCCACGCAAGTGCCAGCGCTCTGGTAGCCTGTCTTGTCATTGCAGGGTATCTGCCTGTTCTCAGCAGGCCTTTTGGACGCTAACTCCCGCCACACGCGTACCTGCTGCCACATGCCTTTGATACTTTTTATCGGTGCTTTCTGTCAGATAGGTCAGGTAGGTTGTGTTCCTCCAGCCTTGCGTTGTGCAGAAGTGCAGAAGCTCTGTCTTGGTATCAGTTTCAATTCCTTTTAGGCTCCCGCCTTTCCTTTGTCGTGCTTTCTGCTCGATCTTTATTTCGGGGAGCAGCAGGCATACTGGGGGTGAGGATAGGGTATAAACTTGTTTTGTTTTTTGTTTGCTTTGTCTTCCACTTGAGCTCACATCTTCATTTTTACTCCAATTGCTTAGAGCAGTGTCGGTCAATCTGACAGGTTTTTCCCCTGCAGGGAAAATGATGGTGAAATTGTTTATCAGATATTTTATTTGTTGTGTTTTGATAAAAGGAAAATATCCGGGAACTCCTGGGTTATCGGCAAGCTGTCGGCGTGTTGTCGTGTGTGGACCTTGCATTCATGCTTGCTGCTTTCTCAGGGTTCCGCCATACATCCACAAGATTATATAAATGAAATTGGGTCAGACCTCAGAGTTTCAGGTTCAACCGCAAAGCAAATAGCTGGAGACAGGGGATTTTTTTTTTTCTTCTGTTCTATTGATTTTTCCAGACTCAGAGGTTGTGAAAGTAAGCCAGATATTCTGCCCTGACACATTGTCCCTCCCACACTGAACCTGCACTCAGGGGATGTGTGTGCGCCTGTTTAGATGTCTGTCTCTGCGTCCTGAACCTTATCCGTATCTTATGACATGAGCGTCACATGACATTAGCCGCGTATTCTCTGTTGTTTGTGTGTCGGGGCTGACAGTGTTGGGTGTGACAGACTCTTGCCTTCCTTACCTGGCAGTCATCAGCAGTTCACAGGCCTTTGGTGCTTTTGTATGGTGTCAGTGCTGGAACACAATACATAGCCTCCTGACTCTGAGTCCGTGACAGGGGTTAGGAACTACAGGATCAGACCAAGCCCCCTGGCCACCTACCATTTCATAATTACTTCTTGTCTCCTGGAAGGCCCATCATGAGTAAGATTAATAGCAATGCTGTTTTCTTTCCCCCATTCTTCCCCCTCCCCCTTTCTCCAGGTTGTTCTAACCAATCAGATCACCACAAACCTGAGTGACCTGAAACCTGCGACATCTTTTAAATGGAACAGTCTGGAAGGTATAAGGACCTTTTCTCAGTCCCTCAGGGCCCTTTTCTCACGTGCAGCTCAGTGCGACGTCTCACATTGCAGTGTGTGTTTCATTAAAGAAACACGTCACTAAAGGCCAGTTGTCCTGTCTTGCTGAGAAGAGACGTCTTTGAATGTCTGGGAGAAGATTTTCACGTTGGGCTTTAGAGACAAAGCGCCTGTGTTTGGTTTGAACTTATTCAAAGTTCTGCTAATTTAGGGCCCCCCGACACACACAGTGACTTTTTTCTTTTTTTTTTTTTTTTGACGTGTTTATAACAGCAGTTGTGTTGTAATTTCTCAATATCACAGACTTGCACAATCCTGGAGCTTGTAGCTCTGTGTGTTTACAGTTATCTTACACTGATCTCTCTTCCCGTCTGTCTCCTTCCCTGCATTCTGCATGTGTCAGCGAGCGTTTCAGCGTCACCTTATCTGCGCAGCCTTCGAACATTCCCACTTCCCCGTGAAGCTTCTTCGACAAGCGGTCAACGCATCTTCTGACCTCTCGCCGTTGGTTCCCAGCCGCTGGGGAAGTCCAGAGGAGAGCTTCTGTTCCCAGTTCAGCTGGGCAGCCCTTTTACTCGGCTCTCCTCTATTTTGACTGAGTGCATTGTCTGAGCAGGGCTCACCATGACCTAATCTGTGGAGTCTCAGCGGGCTTCTGCCGGCCTGCTGGCTCGAGGTGCCAGTCGCTTAAGCTGTTGCTTGAAGCCCAAAAGCGAAGCCGTCACAGCAGATCAAGTGGTGACATCCACTAACCTGCTGGCAGTAACTCCGCAGCCATCCTACAGCAACCCCCTAATTCCAGTTGCTGGGTTCCCGAGACTCTGCAGGTGTTTAGATGTTTACTAGCTGGCGGGCAAGTTAATACGCAGGTGAGAAAACCCATGGGTAAGTTAAGGGGTATTTTTCTCTTTGCAGCCTCCCCCCCCCCCCATAGTCTGCCAGGATCAACTCTAGACCTACATCATGGAAAACCAGCATCATTGCCACTCTGTTTCCAGAATGTTCTGGCGCACCTTTTGCCCCGCTGGCGCTCGCGATCGCTCACACATGGGGACTGGAAGCTTCTCTTCAAACTTTCCACGTCCTCTCCGAGGGCGCTAATGCGAATCTGGGAGGATAGCGGAGCTGTAAGAATGCATGCTGAATGAAAAGCAGCTTCCTGGGGTTTGACCCAGCAGACACCTGGGTTCCGCTTCAGACCCGACAGGCTGACTGTCTCGGCACCGGCGTGCCTCTTAATGAGAAGCCGGGCGCAGTTTGCGGATGGGCGCCTGCATCATTATGCCCAGCGTATAATTGCTCTTTCCAGCCAAAACGCAAAGTCAAAGCCTCAACGCCACCATAATGTTGCAGTTCCCACTTTCTCCATGCTGTTCCCAGCAGCCTACCCACGCAATGTCCTCTGCAGATCCGCTAGGTAATCCATGTTTTCCAAAGAGGATCCTCGCCTCAAAGAGCTGGGACAAAAGGCGACACATTTTTAATGTTCAGAACGACATGCGGTTTTCATGGCATTTATGCTTTTCGTGCCTCTAACCCTCTGGAATGTGGCGTTGGACCTCCTGCCACCGTCAGACCCCCATCCATCCTGAGTTCCTCTGAGTTCTTCTCACTGTGGTCAGGAGATCCAAACGTTACCTTTTGCATCTTTTGGTAGTAGTTTGACCTGTGGGGGAGGGGGACCTCGGATTTATACAGGTCTCTGTTTCACAGGGAGAGAACATGCCCTATAAACGGGGCATTTGGCCTTAAGGTGGGGGCCGGGCTGTTCGCCCCCCTCTCCCCCCCATGAGGATTCTCTAGCAGTCATATTTCCCTGTTTTTATACAGAGTTTTGTCCCCCCCACCCCCCACTACCACAGCCTCCGGCAGACCGTTTGCTTCTGGGAAGGCCCTGGGAGGGTCACTCAGGGTGCGGACGGACTGTTTATGTTGGAGTGATGGAGCAGCATTAGAGTGAGGGCCGCACTGATAGCATCCTGTCCTGTGGGGGCCCTTCGGAAGCCTGCACCCTGCGCGCCGATTGTTTAGTCTACCCTTGGTCCCCCTCACTCTCTCCCCATCAGCTGGGCAGCAGTAAAGGGATGTGGGACGGTGAGTTGCCCTGTCCACCCCAGCCTGACCCGCCCCCACCCGCAGGAAGCCCTCCGGAGCTGGATTAGAGCTTTATATGTATGCGACGTGGTGAGCTTTTCTTTGTAAGCCCCTACTTCCTTGAAAGGCCCGTCCTCTGTCCATCCCCCACTGGAAAGTTCCCTCCTTCTTGTATTCTTGGCCTTTGTGTCTTCCTACAGCCAGAGGAATCAAGTCTGTTTACTCATGGGGGGGGGGCGTAGCGTGCACTGAGGAGCTTCTGAACAGTTTGGTCCTTGTGCTTGAAGGTCGAGTGAGTATTCTGTGGATCTCTAGGTTGCTCCTTGAACTGCCTGCAGAAGACTGAAAGCTGCTTATGGCCATCTGTGAGGCAGCTTGGGGCCCTTAATTTTAATTTTGGAAATTGAGCCATGTTTTAAACTGATGGCTTGGCTAAAACGTAAACAGCCGTTCGTTTCAGGAAGAAGGATGCAAAAACATGTTATGTAACTGCATACTTTAGCATATTAATCAAGCTGAATGCCAGGAGTCTGTGCGGTCTTTACTGCCCTCCCGTTATTGATTACCTGGATGAACCTGGTCACAGCCCCTTTTCACAGGCGCGGTAACATGCAGGGAGAAACGTTAGACACCAGGCCATTAGCACTAACGCCTCTCACCGCTTGTAAAATAAAACGCAAGGCAATTAGCTTTAATAACACCCACTGCTGTATCTAGAGCAGGATGCTGACTAAATGGGGATGTCCTCAGTAATTTAATATTTCACTTGCTACTTGTTGAAGAGAACATTTGTTATCCTCTCAGAATATTAAGTAAATGGGGTTTAGAATAGCATGATATAATAGTGTACAAGCTTTCTGATGTTCTACCTTGGTTTCTCTCACATGTCATATTCGGGTGTTCTTAAAGTGGCCATGTGATCTTGTCTGTGTGTGGTGGGAGGTGAGTGCTGATATCATGCCCCAGACAGCTGGGCCCGGGTTCGAGTTTCCCCCCTTGTTAGTCTGAAATTTCAGCACTGAAGTTGATAAACGACTTTGCTCTTTGTCTTTGCACATGTATGGCTTCTCCTCCTTCCGGCCTTTTCATGTTATCTCGGCTGAGGAAGAATGTTAATTACATGTTTTTCCATTGAGTCCTGGCATGTCGCGAGCAGCGCTGGGCATGAGGGGACTGAGCACAGAGGCAGTGAATTGTTATCTTTGCTGGAAGTGCCGATGTCAGCCTGGTGGTCAAACCCAGTGTAACGTCAGTCCCCGGCCACGCAGATTACAGGCTCTGCAACCTGAGCCATTGAGTTAACATGCAATCTGTACTTGGGAAAGGTTTCACATCAGTAGCAGAGATGTGATGGATCAAAGCAGCACTGGCCATTGATGGGTTCTTGCAAAATTCATCGGTTTTATGCAGACTTCTCACTTTGAGTTGACTGATGTAAATCAATGACATGTTGAAAGATGCACGTAGTATCTGTAGGCCCTCCACCCTAGGAGCTATTTATCTGTGAGGCACTGAAGTCAAATCCGGCTCCCTCTTCATAGACCCTTGCCCTAATGCACCTCTGTTACTGTGTTGTAGGATCTTCCCTGGCTGCAGAGGATTCTGGGTATGTGACAGCTGCGCTGGGAAATACCTGGAGCCACAGTGTCAACACACGCCTCATTGTCCAGTATGTAGACGCACACTGCAGACAGGTAAGCCATCACACGCCCAGTTCAGCGTTCTGAGATGCCAGGCAGTTTGGGTGGGATCCCTAAAGTATGGCTGCCGTACCCGTGAGGTTAAACACTCTTCTCGCTGAGCACAGTCCCCAGTGTGCCTCCGTCCACTTGTTCGAGATCTACACGGCGTACAGACTGAAAGCTCGTGGCTCCTCAGTTGACTCTGTTGTTTTTATTTGTTCTTCCTTTCCATCTTTATTCTCCCTCCCCCGTTCGCTCTGCGTCCCATGCGGAGGCAGTGAGGCTGCCGTCCTTCCCAGACTCCCTGCGTCTGCCTTTGAGCCTTTCAGCAGCTGAACAAACAGGCCTGCTGCCCCCCCCCCCCTCCCCTGCCTGAACACAGTGAGCTGACTGCATGCTAGGTGCTTTTTAGAGGTGGGCTGGGGGGGGGGGTTAGTCTGTGGGATTTGAGGAAAGCGGGTACTGCAGGGGGTTAAAAGTTGGGGTGGAGTGAGATGGACCAGGCCAGCTGACCTGCTCTTCTTGTTCATTCTCCTGCTGTGTGTGTGTGAGTATATGTGTGTTTCTGGGTTATGTATATTTTACATTGTGGGGACCAAATGACCATTTTTTCAGTCCAATTAAGCTCAATTCTATAAAACACGCTTACTGCAATCAAAAAACTAAATGTCAAGTTTTCTACTTGTTTACTTTTGGTTAAGGTTAGAGCTGGGTAGGGGTTAGGGTTGTCATTGTTGGGATGAGGGTTTGTCCCCTAGAAATTCCCCATAAAGATATTAATTTGTGTGTGTGTGTGTGCACATGTGTGTGTGTGCACGTGTGTGTGTGTGTGTGAGAGAGAAAGTAGGAGCAGGATGAGGTAGAGAGCGGGTGATGCTGTAGGATCATAAGGGCAGGAAACAGTCGCCTGGCCGTAGAGCTGATACAGCAGGAGAACAAATGGGGAGGCCGACACCCAGCCGGGAAGCGGCAGCCGGGACGGTCACGGAGGGCAGGGAGCAGGGGGTTCCGCGCGGCACAGGGGGTGGGGGACGGCCACCTTCAAACGCCATTGTTCTTCTTGTTTTGCTTCTTGTCTCCGCTCGCTCCTCGACAGACTTGTCTATGGGTGATGCTGACCTTCCGAGGCTTTGTATGAACAGTTAACTAGCTTTGGGGGGGGGGGTCGTGTCGGAGCTCCTTGGGCAGCACTTTTAGGGTTTTCATCACCTCGCTTCCGCAATGCCTTCCTCCTTCCCGCGGTCTGCAGAGCTTCCCCGCACGTCTGCCTGTTGCCGCTGTGAGAGCTCAGCAGAAACGGAGGGAAGGCAGCGGAAGACTGGAAGTGAGCATCTAACATCGTCAGCGGAATGCAGCAAATAATAGGATGGTGGTCTTGATGAATGCTTTGTATGTCTCATATTCATTGGGGTATATAGTGTATCAGCGGATAACGTTAGCAGTGTGTTTATGTATGCTTGAGAGATACCTGCCTTAAACACATGGCAGCGGGCCTCTCAGTGAGGTCCTCTTTCTCCTGTCCTTTCGGACTCTCCTGACAAATACACATTTGTATTATTTTTATTTTTTGGGGGTCGGCAAAACCCCCCGCAAGCTCTAATAAGAGAGCCAGGTTTGACCTAACACAAAACGAGACGCCCAGATTGCACCGGGAGTGAAGCCGTCACCGGCTGCAGAGCTGTAAGTGATCACAGCCGGAGCTGACTCTTCAGTAATCCTTCAGCAGTGTAATTCACCCCCACCTCACCTCCAGCTGCCAATACATTCCTTGTACATCTGGCTCAGTGTTTCTCTAAAACCAAGTCTGCTCCATAATTAGTCACAAGTGCTCCGTTCCCCGTTTTATGATTTAAAGGGAAAGAAAAATAGTGTGAGGGAAAGCTGGGCCCAGGAAACACATGGCGAGCATGCAGGCTTCGGGATCTTTGTTCATTCATGTCTTATTTGTGTATCATATCCATTTTGAAGGACGCTCGTTTTGGAATGCAAATGGTGAAAAGGCACGGTGTGTTGTTCCACCGTGGGCACTGATCAGCTGAGTGAGATCTGTGCTACCCTGACCCTCAGCCCCTCTTGTGCGTTCTCTCACTGACCTTTGACCCCTGCGGATATTCTTGCGGTACCCTACGAGGTTATCGTCCCTGGGCAGGGCTGTAGGAGCAGTGTGAAGCAGGGGTACTCTCACGATGCGCTAGGAACACGCTCCAGCGTATCATAGTCATGATGTAGACAGGAAGTGAGGTTGCACGCAAGGAGCACAGGAAGAGTCTTTATCAGGCTCTGCCAGGAAGACTATTGTTGAGCGTTTTGAGGGCCTGACTATGATTTGTGGCTGCAACTGGAGCTGTACAGGAACCCTACCCCCGTCCTGATTTCCCTTCCAGGCATACATTTAAAGTTTTAGTTTGCCTCAAGGGATGTTTAGATTGCATTCAGATGTCTGTACCAGTGTTTCTGAGTCTTCATAATGCAAGTACCAAGAAAATGCCTGTAGCTCAAAAACAGGAATTGCAGAAGTGTGTGTGTGTGACTATTTAAGTGAGCTTTAAGTACGTTCTTAGTTTCGCTCCAAATCGCATAAACTGTAACAACGTTCAGTTTGGTCTGCTTTAAACAGCCAGATGGTGAGTCAGTCACCGCAGAACTCAACCCCAGTGGTGTTGCTGCAACCCTTTCGGGGGGAAGCGAAAGGGCAACTTCATAAACACTGTCATATGATTAAAGAGCTCGCTCGTTAATTTCTGTGACGCGCGGCCCCGTTTCCCGTCAGGGCGGCCGACTTTAATGCTGAGTTTCATAGCAGCCCTCCGCTTATCTCTGCCTCCTGGCCGCCGGTCCTGATCTTCTCTGCACTCTCTCGCGCGTTTGACCGTGGGCCGGCAGAAGGGGACACACAAGCACATTGTGTCTGAGTGTCTACTACGCTTGTTTTGGTCCATACATTAATACTCTACTTTACTGTCCATGTTTCTGTCCCCAGGGGAAATTCCTGAATGCGAATAAGAAGCCTTGTATTCCCCCTTCCCCCGTGTCTGTTTCAGATCATCGTAGCGAAGTCTCCCATTGCCGCTTTTGCCGTGTTTAAGTACTCCATACAGAGCGATGGCATTCGTCTGGAAGGTGAGTGCAGTGTCGCTTTTCCCCACTCTACCTCTGGACGGGTCGGCGCACTGCAACCCAAGCAAACACCCAGAGGTCTTCGCTGAAAGTATCCCTTGGTGCCTGATTCACTGAGAAGCCTGCTCACGCCAAGCCTGCTCAAACAGGGGCATCGTTCTCATTCACCAGACATCTCCAATCAAAATTCAGAGATTTTTCAAGTGTCTGCAAAATGTGGAAGCAGCGAGGCTGCGTGATGTTTTGTAGACAGTCAGTTTCCAGTGGGGTGAAGCTCAGATGTCCCTGACATTACAGCACAGATGACTTATCTAAGCACAGAATAATATCTCCGTCCCCTCAGAATAACACATGCTGCTGTGAAATTTCAAAAGTTTGGTTGCAGTGCTCTGCAGTGTTACTGAAGTATACCCGAGCTCCAGTGAGTTCATCCCTAGAAATCTGGTTTTTATTTTAAATATGTTGATTTTGTGTAAATTATTTGGAATTGCAATGCTTGAAGAAACCAAAGTAGAGGACAAGAATGAGAATATAAGCACATTGTGTCAATTCTATGAAAATGTTCTCTCTCTGTTCTGGGGAAAAAAGTAACATTTTTGGGGATTTTAATGCGTCTGATCCTGACATTATGTCATTTATGCATAAGATGGGAAGTTTTAGTTCTGTACCGATTCTCAAGTTTCTGGGAGTTACATTTTCAATGTTAAAAAGTGTCTGTGAAAATCAGTGGTAGAATGTTACAGCAACTGTCACACATTGTGTCCTTGAGTATAGTGTGTCAGCCAGACCATCCCCATGGTGTCCGATCTGAGCCATAACCAAACCAAAATTATTATAACTCTGCTGCTCAGCACTCATTATAAGTTTTACTTTCCAACTTTGCTACCTACTTAGAGTCATATAAGTAAAAAATTGATTGATTATTAAAAAAGGTGCGATATTGAATTCACCGTCATATCATAAAGATAGCATGAATACTTTGTCTGTTCTCTCTTTCCTTGCGTTTTAGTTTTCATTACTGTCCAGCTGCACAGACCCTAAAATTAAATTTTACGATACGTAATGTAATGTGTGCGGTTCCAGGACTTGATTCTAAGAATTAATTATGGTCGGTTATGAGATTTACTCTACATTCTGCCCTCACCCCTCCCCCTGTCTCTGGGAGCCTTATTTGGAGCCCCCCAGTGCGAATGGCGTGGGAGTGAAGGACACGGAGGAAAGCCCCAAGGTGCCCCGCCATTGTGGGAAAGGCCGCGGAGCCCGTGATGGGGGGGGGGGGGGGCTGCTGGGGCCACAGAGAAAGGGCCATCTGCTGGCTTTAGCCCCCCACCCCCTAGCTCAGCCTAGCCCACCCCTGCGTTAAAGGGCAGGAGAGAGTGAGGAAGGGGACAAGGGACCGCGGGCCCTCCTGCACTGTGGGAATGCGTGTGTGTGCGTGCGTGTGCATGTGTGGGCGAGCTGCAGGCTTAGCGGCGAGGCTCGTGTGGGAGCCGCTGGCCCCGGCCAGGCTGCTGTGAATGGCTCTCCTCTTTCTCCCCTCTATCTGTGATCAGCTGTGTTAATCTGGGCTTCTCCCCACAAGTGGGCCTTTGATGTGAAAGGAGAGAGCTTCCTGCTCGCTCCAAACAGGGCCCTCCTATCGATCTGCGCTTCCTTCGCTGAATGCATTAGGCTTTTGATAGCCTTGGAGGCCTGCATGGCGTACAATTGGCCTCAGAGTTCTTTCATTGATGCCCCCCCCCACCCAGCACACACACACACTCTCACACACTTTTCTAACCATCCACTACCATCATCTCGCATCCTAACCCAGGTCTCCACCACAAGAAGCTCCTCTGATTGTTGTCCCTCCTTTTTTAAGGACTGTATCAAACTTGGGGTTGCGGGGAACAGAGGTTGGATGTGTGAGGACCTGTCATACGGCCTCATCTGTTCTCCATTCACATTTCTATGTAGCCTTGGTTTTGGCTGCTTTCGGGAGAGCAGGAATGCACATGGGGATGGATGGGAGTGTTCTGCGGTGCTTCTCGGGGACCCGCGTGTGTTATTTCTTCTTAATTACCACTCTGCTGGTTTGTTTTATTATTCCTTTGCCCCGTTCCCAAGCCCTCGCATGCGTTGCCATTTTTGTCGTGCTGCCAGTTCACCCCAGTCAACCCCGCTGGCTGTCTGAACCCCCGAGATGCGCCTCTGACCCACGTCTCCGCGGGCTGGGTCGCTTGTCTTCCTGCACCCCATGTCTCTGGTGGAAACACCATCCTGTTGCTGCCCCAGAATCCACAGCGTAGGGGTCGGTCATGTGACCTGAAACTCATATTGCCATGTGTTCAGTGTTTTTCCTGGAACTTGGTGGATCGCACTCTGGGGTTCCTCTCTTCTGGGTTTAGCAAGGCTCTAGTGTAACACAATTTTTGGGACAAGTACTGTGACTTCTGACTTCAAATCCAGTAATAATTAGCAATACCTTCAGTGCCCTTGGTACGTGTTGTGAAAAATTTAAAAATATATTTTTCATGACAGCATATATTTATCATTAAATGCTATCATGCTCTGGTTCAGCTGAGTCCTTTGTAGACTTCTTCAGTTTTTGTCCTTCAGGGTTCGGTTTCTTTACTTGTGGAAGCCCTGCCCAAGTGTCCTTGAATGGGGTGTCTGAACTTTTTTTCCAACAGAATCCAGCTGAATAAATGGGAAAAATTTGAAGGTGCTTTGGGCAAAATTGTTTGCTTGAGAAACTGGTGGTAATCTGCCGTTCTGCTTTGCCGGTGTGCAGAGTGAGATCCTCAGAAGACGTTGCCGTTCCGGCCCCACCAGTCCGCGGTTACATGTTCTCACCCCTCTGGTACGTCCTTCACACACCTTTCCTCCATGTTCATGCTGGTTTCCAGCCGCAGTCTAAAAATGCCGCTCTGAATTTCCCTGAATGTGTGAAATTGCCTTGTGATGGACTCCAGTCCCCTATTGGCTACAGACTTTCTTCCTGCTGCTCTATAACTCCTGGGATAAACCTGAGCTGCCTGGGCCCTGATTGGATGAACAGCTGTGCAGAGGGTCAAGAAAAGCCTCTCCTTTCTGCTTGTTTTTCAAATAAAAGCACAAGGGCAGAATAGTGACTTTTCCTCATGTCTTATGGAACATTTGCCACCTTTCGTACACCTACTGTGACTGATCATCCAAGCCTGTACCTAGCTTCTGTGATCAAAGGGCCTTTTTCTGCTTTTTTAAATAGTACAACCCTCCATCAAATGGTCAAATAGAAGGGGAAACCATATTGTCTGGGCTGAGATTAAGCACGCAGCTGTGACATGACCATGGGGTCTCTAAGCTGAGTTAGGTGGTTTTCCAGTTGCTTTCTTCTGTTCCTTTCTGCCTGACTGGGTTAAATTTAAGTTTGGCAGTTCAGTGTTAATGTGTTTGTCCCTTGGAGTTTGATCTGTTTTGGGGTCACCCAACATGAGAGAGTAGTAAGAAGTTTTCTGGGTGTAGATGCCGCCCGTTGTGGTTTTATGCATTGAGCTCTGTTTCCCGTTCTCTGTAGGCAGACAGTGGGAAAAGTTCCCAGGATGGCTGAAGTACTGGCTGCCAGTCTCGTTCTGTGAGTGGTCCTCTGTTGGCCAGAGACCAAGACAGTACGTTTTGGCAGGGGGGGGGGTGTGGCTGGCGGGCTGAGCTGGACAAATGAAAGTGAGGAGGGTTAGCAGATGTCCACCACGAGGCGACCGCAGTCCTGCCAAAAAATTACCCCGTCCCCCGTAATCACCCCTTCAATCCGGCTCTCTGCTGCTGTTCTGTCAGTGGTGTAGATTGCATTTAAGATTTTTTAAATGATGATGATTCCTGTTAGCAGAGGAAAAGAGAGTGGCAGTATTTATTTGGGGGGGGTGTCCTTGGCACCTATCTAGCCTGTTATGGCCACTGTATGGGGAAATGCTGAAAGCCAGCATCAATCTTTTCTAAAAAAAAATCCCCCCCCCCCTCTTATTTCACTCTGATAGTCATTTCTGTGTTGTGTAACCTCCCAGGCTTTGTGGGGAGGCGTTTCATAACCGCAGTGTGTGACATTGGTGTAAAAAGGCCAGAAAGCAAGCGGAGATGCAGCCAATCAGCGTGCCGTGGGAAACCACTGAGCCACACGGCAGTTGAAGAGCCGGCAGCGCGGCGGCCTTAGCGCCGTGTCACGCCTAACTGTTCACCACCACGTCCCGGAGGTGAAAGTGTGTGACAGAATTTCGACAATGAGCTGTCTGTGATCTGTCCATCCACATTATCCAGGGCTGGGTTACCGGGCCGGGGCTGGGGTACTGGGCCGGGGCTGGGGTACACCCAGTATGTCTGAGCTGGGGGGAGTTCCTGAGAGAGGTGTGATGCTGCCCTGTGGATCAGCATGTCTCCTTAGCAGAGGGAGAGCATGTGCGTCTCCCAGGGGAGGGGAAGCCGGCGGGGCCACTTGTTGAGGGGGTCACCGGCGTCGGGCCCAGCTGTGGGGATGCAGGAGCCCCAAGACTCGCGGCTTTTACCCAGCTGAAGGGGGAGGTTTTTATTGGAGATGTTATAGGATTTTGCCCAGAACGACATTGCCAGATGGAAGCCATCTTGAAATGAAATGAACGCAGATATGCTTTTCGCAGCGTGTTTGTGCCAAATGTACGCAGGTGTTTTCCTTTCGGGTTTTTTTTTTTTTTCCCTTGGAAGACAGAGGTAATCAGCCAAATGCCGTCCCTGGTTTGTTGTGGTGGCCGCATTGACTTTAGCCTTACGGCTCTAGTGGAGCAGGGTGACCCTTTGCTTTAGAGGTGCTGACCTGTGAGTCACTGGGGTCATCTGTGTGGTGGGGGAGGGGTGTATATGAATGGCACCGTTCCTGCCTTTGGTGTGATGTGTGTCTTTTACCCCATTATCACTACGCCATTACTGGCAATATAACGGATTCATTGTTCGCAGGGCTGTTGGCGGGTCCTGAGAAGTTTGCACTAGAATGCACGTGTGGCCACGCCAAGATGTGC